TTGTCTTCAAGTTATGGATTTCTTAAATTATATCAGATGATGCAGACATATGATTTGTTTAATTTTTTGGTGATTGTAAATAATAAGTAATTAAGGTTGTTCAATTTTTAGTTTTTATTTTTTGGGCTTGGTATCCAATCAACCCCAGCTGGGAGGTTTGTAATATGTAGCTTCTGCTACTGGGTTGACAGTAATGAAGTTGTGTTGCGTTTGGGTGTGATATTGATTGGTTTTTAAAAGTTTAAGGGTGAGAAAGTATCATTATGCCATTTTTTGGATGGAAAAAAAGTCATTAACTCTTTCGTTAATACCCAAAATACACTTATCTTTCTCAGCCGGCGTTTAGTAAGTTACTAGGAGCTAGGGTAAGAAGGGTTTTGTAGAATGGAGGCTAGTAGATCGAATGGTGGTGACCGAATCGTTTGAAAATGATTCAAATTTTGTAAATTATATGTTTTTTTTAGAATTATAATTTAAAAATTATTTAATAATAATTGATACATTTCAATCTAATTATTTGGGAGAATTTAATTAAATATAATTACTATATATATAAGAGGATTCTACAACTCCTATTTTTTAATACAGATTTAAACACAAATTTATGTTGTTAGATTAAACCAAAATAGATGGTCAAGATAAAAAGTGAGTGAAAAATGATATTTTCTAATATTTATGATATTAAGTTACGTAAATATATTATCTCACCTCATTAATGGTAAAAAAGTTCCAAAAAAAAAAAAAAAATCTCTCTCATTAATTATAATCATTTTTCTTTCTCATATTTTCTTTTCCACCTTCGTTTCACAAAAACTTTTTTATTTAATATAATATAAAACAAGATCGACAACACACCCCTTTAGTTTTACACTTATGATCAACCTCTAATTAAGGTTAATCAACGATTGGGATTGTATTTCATTTACAGCTTCATTTAATGATAATTATCTTAAAACTTATACTATGTTAGCAATCATAACCTTATTTCCTTTTATAATATTGGTTTACATAATTTATTAGTATATATATTATATATATATGTATATACATATAATTTGAACCAGATGAAACTCTGATCATTTATCAAAGAAAAAATAACATATGGTTTTGTATGATTTCTAGTATTTTCTTTTGGAAGAAAACGCGTATATCTTTCACATTTAAAAAATGACTAATATATTGAAGAATATGTAAATAGACATTTAAGGAATTGATTTATTCTATTTATATTTGTTCCATTAGAAGAATCTAACGATCTCAAAGAGTCAAATCTTTTTATTAGCTATTGAACCTCTTTTTAATTGATCAAAACAATGCATCTCAATTCTCATCACTAATACAATTGAAATGTTCTCACGATTAACTAGAAGATACTTGATACCATAAAAACTAATACCTACCTGCTTTATAAACAACAATAACATGATTAAATTTATATTACAACATATCTCAAGTTGTTGAAACAAAGATGATATCTAAACAATAACAAATTCATAATTGTCAAAGATTCCATATGTACATAGAAGAATAAATCCAATAACACCATCCATCACAATCGATCTCAACTGCATCACAAATATCATTGGAAAATTTTCAATTTCATGACAAATTAACACAAAATAATTAAAGTACTGTAATCAAATCAAGGAATCATACCCAAAAATTGATATATTTAATATGGCAACATATTAACAAAGAAAGGAAATTTTGAGCAACGGTGTTTCCTTTTCCTTTGAAAGTCATTAATACGACAGAAAATGTCCACTGTTTCCTTCAGAAGCTGATCAATAATATTATCTATTTTATATATGAACTGAATAATATTCAAATGAAATTTCAGGGAAATGGATGTGATAGCACAGAAAAATGTTGAATTTGGATTTATGTTCCTAGTTATAAAAAGTTTTTTTATTAACGAGCCACAACAATTGCACCTATCAAAGAAACTAAAAGAATTTCGAAATCAGTTCAAATGGAAGAAAATATATTCGTTGATAAATAAATCCTAATTTGTTAACTATAACTTATCAAATCTTCCTTTATAATCTGGTTGGCTTGGGTAGTCCAAATAATCTGATACCACAAGGTATCTGGAATAGTAGTGATTAGCCAAAAAAAAAAAAAAAAAAATTGCTCAAATTGGGGAAGTAAGCCCATCCCAAATAGGTCAAAATTTTCAGTAGGGCAGTAACAAAGTTTAAGAAAGAATGATAGAGAAAAACTTATATAAAATTCTCCTATAAAATTTGAAAAGGAATAGTTCAACATTTGCTGTAGCGTAACTTGTCATGTATTTCATACTGAAGATTAATCCTAACTCCCAAGATAGTAGTGATTAGAAAGAAATTATTCAATAAAAAAAACCAACTCAGATTAATATAAATTCCCCCATGTTACGTAAAAGGGAATCTTACTCCCAACAACCTTAATGGGGGCAATTAACCCTCAGATCATGGTCTCTTTAACTATGGTCAATCCTTGGATTCCTTGGAGTGCAATAATCCAAGGGCTGGCAACTCGCTGGTAACATTGCTTAAGGGAAATATGAGATCATTAAAGGGGAAGGTTGTAGGACCTTGTACTTGAAAATATTCTATTAGCACTTCCTATTTTAGTATACTCTTGAACTAAAATTTTAAAAATAAATTTATATTCCATTCTTTTCATAAATTTAAAAATTATTCAATATATCTGTCCGATACAACCTTAATTTATTTATACATGATCTAAAGAAAAAAAAAAAAATTGAAGGTAAATAAATCTCATAACCCTCAGGTCATGGTCTCTTGAATTATGGTCAGTCCTTGGATTCCTTGGAGCGCAATCCAAGGGCTACCAACTCAACAGTAGCATTGCTTAAGGGAAATATGAGATCATTAAAAGGGAAGGTTGTAGGATCTTGTATCTGAAAAAATTCTATTAGCACTTCCTGTTTTAGTATACTCTCAAACTGAAATTTTAAAAATAAATTTGTATTCCATTCTTTTCATAAATTTAAAGAAGATTCTATATATCTGTCCAATACAATTTTAATTTATTTATACATGATTTAAAGAAAAAAAAATAGAAGGTAAATAAATCTCGTAAGCTATGTGACAAATTAAAGTACTTCCAAGGACTTTCACATGAACTTTTAACAAAAAGCTTTTGTTTTCATGATGTTCTTTATAGATTATGATCTATTGATTTTGCGTTAGTTACTTGTTTTTTTTTTTTTTTTTTTAAAGAATAAATTTGATGATGAATTTAATAAAAAAAATAATTTGTAAAATTACTGTGACATAGTGCACTTAAGAAATAAAATGTTGAGAGTGCTTATAAAAGGTGTATATTAAATTCTACAAAAGAACTATTGTATAATAAATAAATAAATAAATGTGCAACAACATATCAATAACTTTAACTTTCATAAAAGAAAATTTTGAACAAGTAAAATTAGAATTAAAAATGAGAATATTCACTTACCAAGGAAATTCTCTTCAGAGAATGTTATGTAAAGGAACTCAATTTGTCACTCAAATCAACCCTAAAACGATATTAACAAGCTTTTCAATTCAAGTAAAGAAGGGCAAATAAAAATAATTAACAGAGAGGTATGTCTTCATTGAGTCATCCCTATATGCTAATAATCTTTCAAATTGAACAAAATTGAATGCAATTTTTGTTGAGGACGTACCTCTCTTCGGTCTTGATCTTTAACCACAACTTCAACCATGAAAGAAGTAGCCAAATTGGATCATTGCTTTGTTGTGGTCTCTTTCAAAGCCAGACAAGTTGAATGGTAATTCTCCGGACAGAGGCTGATGAAATTGGCTAGTTTTTGCTTTCTACATCAATCATATTCACTGCAAAGCCAAGAAAGCCAGGCGGAGACGCCCCATTAGGCAATCTTGACTTTAGAATATCAAGCCTCCTTTGTGGATCATTAGCTACAAACTCATCGGCAAAAGGTCTAGAGAAAGAAAAAAAATTAGAATGTTTGCAGATACAAGTCTATATAATTAAGGAAAGCAGAAGTCGAATTGAAGCCTCAAGTTTTCAAGACATATGACAAGGAACCGGTCATGTATAGTCCTCCCAATTGAAGCACCAAGCCCATGACGACCAGAACTTTTAATAATGCAGCCTTCTTTATCGTATGTTTCTAGAGCCTTAACACCTTCTTAAGTCTTGCAAACAATTGCCAACATCTTGTCCATTCCTAAGTACTCAGAGAAAAGCCTGCACTCCAAAGAAGATGAAAAAATTGTCAACATTTAGCTTTGTCACACTTTCTGGCAATATGAAAGCTAGAAATTAAACATGAATTCTAACCATTAACCGTCTCTGCAACAATGTACAACAAAACCTCACTCACCACTCAGGAGCAAACAACACTGCAACAGCATGCAAGCTTTAAGGATGAATCTATTGGTAACAAATTCAATGGATTATATATTTGTCTATAGAAGATCATGTAATATGTTACAAACAGAGAACTGATTGTAATTTTCTTATGTATTGCATTGACAAATTATACATCAATATATAGGAAAATAAAGAACTAATCTAGGAAATAAATAATCTAATCTAGGAAATAAAAAATCTAACTTCCTATTTTACAGATTTGTTCCTATTATGTATTGATTACAATCCTAATATCCTATTATAGATTTATTCACTTAATCATGCAATATCTGTAAGATTTTGCATGATTATCTACAACANTTTTTTTTTTTTTTTTTTTAAAGAATAAATTTGATGATGAATTTAATAAAAAAAATAATTTGTAAAATTACTGTGACATAGTGCACTTAAGAAATAAAATGTTGAGAGTGCTTATAAAAGGTGTATATTAAATTCTACAAAAGAACTATTGTATAATAAATAAATAAATAAATGTGCAACAACATATCAATAACTTTAACTTTCATAAAAGAAAATTTTGAACAAGTAAAATTAGAATTAAAAATGAGAATATTCACTTACCAAGGAAATTCTCTTCAGAGAATGTTATGTAAAGGAACTCAATTTGTCACTCTAATCAACCCTAAAACGATATTAACAAGCTTTTCAATTCAAGTAAAGAAGGGCAAATAAAAATAATTAACAGAGAGGTATGTCTTCATTGAGTCATCCCTATATGCTAATAATCTTTCAAATTGAACAAAATTGAATGCAATTTTTGTTGAGGACGTACCTCTCTTCGGTCTTGATCTTTAACCACAACTTCAACCATGAAAGAAGTAGCCAAATTGGATCATTGCTTTGTTGTGGTCTCTTTCAAAGCCAGACAAGTTGAATGGTAATTCTCCGGACAGAGGCTGATGAAATTGGCTAGTTTTTGCTTTCTACATCAATCATATTCACTGCAAAGCCAAGAAAGCCAGGCGGAGACGCCCCATTAGGCAATCTTGACTTTAGAATATCAAGCCTCCTTTGTGGATCATTAGCTACAAACTCATCGGCAAAAGGTCTAGAGAAAGAAAAAAAATTAGAATGTTTGCAGATACAAGTCTATATAATTAAGGAAAGCAGAAGTCGAATTGAAGCCTCAAGTTTTCAAGACATATGACAAGGAACCGGTCATGTATAGTCCTCCCAATTGAAGCACCAAGCCCATGACGACCAGAACTTTTAATAATGCAGCCTTCTTTATCGTATGTTTCTAGAGCCTTAACACCTTCTTAAGTCTTGCAAACAATTGCCAACATCTTGTCCATTCCTAAGTACTCAGAGAAAAGCCTGCACTCCAAAGAAGATGAAAAAATTGTCAACATTTAGCTTTGTCACACTTTCTGGCAATATGAAAGCTAGAAATTAAACATGAATTCTAACCATTAACCGTCTCTGCAACAATGTACAACAAAACCTCACTCACCACTCAGGAGCAAACAACACTGCAACAGCATGCAAGCTTTAAGGATGAATCTATTGGTAACAAATTCAATGGATTATATATTTGTCTATAGAAGATCATGTAATATGTTACAAACAGAGAACTGATTGTAATTTTCTTATGTATTGCATTGACAAATTATACATCAATATATAGGAAAATAAAGAACTAATCTAGGAAATAAATAATCTAATCTAGGAAATAAAAAATCTAACTTCCTATTTTACAGATTTGTTCCTATTATGTATTGATTACAATCCTAATATCCTATTATAGATTTATTCACTTAATCATGCAATATCTGTAAGATTTTGCATGATTATCTACAACAATCTACAACATAATACAACAACTTCTTGGCCATTGCAAAACTTATAAAGGTCCTTATTGATGGGAAACAACAAAATCAGTTAATTATAAACAAGAAAAAGCAACCAGAAACAAGCCAATACAAAAAGGACAACATCGCCAGAGAAAGATGAAGAAAAAGATAGAATACATGATCAATCAACCTGCCAAGATTTTTATCCACAACATTGCCAGGTGAAGCAACAATACCAAGAAAATCCTTGGTTGGTTGAAGATGTGATGCCTGAGAGCCATGACGTGTTTTCAGCTTACAAAAAACGCCAGTAGCAGATTTTTCATGCTGGAGAATCTGCCCTGCTGTTTCCTTCTCACTTTGAAGGCTGAAATGGTCCTCATTCTCAGTCTTAAGTCCACTTGAAGAATGATACTTGCCAAGAACAACTGACAGAAAACTTATCAGAAAAAAAAAAAAAAACAAATACAAAAATAAAGATCAAAGTGTGTCATACTGATGAGCTACCTGGGAGGCTGGTCTACAATAGGAAGGGTAGAGGTGAGAAGTAGAGGAATATTTGTTTATGCGTGAGTGTTAAGAGTAGCTTTTGGGAGGATAGGTGGCTTAATGAGATTGGAAGGGTGAAGAATTCGATTATGAGAAAAAGGTGTCAGGGAATAAAAGTGAGGGACAAATGGAATTGGGGAATATTCAGAAAGAAGGTTAAGCTTTTGAAGGGGAGGTGACAGATCCTCGAAACTCAGTCTTTATTTTTGTTTTTGCTGTACTTAGAATTGTTCCATTTTGCTATTAGGTTGCTGGGTAGATGATAGAACATGATTCTATGAATGTAATGTTCTGTTCTTGATATCAATATAGAGTCTATTTCTTTTTCATTCCTATGCTTGCTTATTTTTTAACTGGTATTGGATAGAGAAGTTTGTGTGTTGCTTGGTGGTTTAACAAGTAGATGTTCTATTAAGTGATATCAGAGCATTGATTTTTGGGTAATGGTTGTGACGAGAATGGATTCTAGAATGGATAATGTTGAGAAAGAAGTTACAAGTTAGGGGTTGGAATGGGCATTATCCAAGAATGTTTGGTAGAGATACAATCTTAGATGCGAAAAAAGGACGAAGAAGCTGGTAGAACGGAAAAGCATTCATTGGGAAATATTGACTCTCACGAAGTGGAAAATCCTAATGGTGCTGGTGGGTTTGGTGACAATGGCCAGAATCAGAGTGAAATTGGAGGACGAAAACTGAAAATGCCAATATTCTCCGGCGAGGACCCTTACGGATGGCTTTTTAGAGTAGAGCGTTACTTCAACCTTAACATAGTATCTAAGGAAGGGAAACTGACAATGGTGGCAATTTGTATGGAAGGTGAGGCCATCAATTGGTTCCAGTGGACTGAATCCAAAGCTTTGGTGAGTTCGTGGGCTATGTTTAAACTGGCGCTCCTCATAGGTTTAGTGGGTCACAATAGCATAACCCTTATGAATCTTTGATGGCGATGAGACAAATTGGTTTAGTGGCTGATTTTCGTCGACAATTTGAAGCAGTGGCTGCACTTTTGGTAGAGGGGAAAAAAGAGATACTACAGGCTGCATTTTTAAATGGGCTTAAAATAGGTTTGTTTGGCCCAACCCAGCTCTTTAATTCAATTAATTGAAATGGCTCAAAGAATAGAGGAAAGGAATCAGGCCTTTGAAGAAGCCCGAGTAGGAGCTGCTAAGTTTAACCGCATGAATGAACCTGGGCTTTCATATGGATTAAACACCAATGGATCAAGAAATTATGACAACTTATAACGTCCACATTGAGGTACGTAACTTAACTTATGCCCTTATACCCTTAGTTGATTTTTATTAAAGTTATTTTGAGAAAATGTGAAGAAAATGCCTTAAAATTTCATTAGGGGTAAAATGGTTTTTTCACTCAAAATTAGTTGAAATTGTAGAGAGTGAAAAGAGATAGAATTTCATGGAGAATGCAATAAAATAAGGGCATTATGGTAATTGACTAAAGGACATATATGGAATTTTAAAGAAACTGCAAGGGCAAAATGGGAAACTATATATAATATTATGTTATATCAAGGATTGAAGAGTGAAACCCTAGCCACTCTTTATCCATTTTCACGCCACCTTCACCTTCATATTCTCTCAATTTCTTCAATTCTTCTTCAAGTGAAATTCATAGATTTTGGATACTTTTGAGTGGATTTTCAATCCTAAACATCCTTAGGTAAGATCCTTGCACTAAGAAGTGAGTTTTAATTTTTAAAGTGTTGGATTTTGATGATTTATGTTCATAAGATATAAGAGAAAGAGAGTTGGATCAAAGAAAATTTTTAAAGTGTTGGATTGCTCACATATAAGATAAGTAAATCCTACCCTAAGTATGATTGAAGTAATATTGTGTAAAGAATTTCTTTTATGCATATATATGTTTTATATGAAGAATTGTTAATGGATTTGGTGTTGAATGATGATTATAACTTATCCATGAGAAGTTGTGTTGGTTTATTTGATGTTTGATGAATGTTTGGATGAAGTTTGGAAGAATTGGAGTGGAAATTTTGGAGTGGAAATTTTGGACAGGTTTGGCATTAAATATGGAGGGTTTTATTCCCAATTTTTGGTGGCTTAGAAAAGAGATAGAAGTGTAGCCAAATTAGAGTTGCTTTGTGCACATAAGTTGTTTGATGAAATGTCAAAGAGAAATGTTTGTATGAGTATGATTATGTGTTATATTGAGATGAGTTTGTAGATGATAGAGAATGACATGTTTGCATTCCATATTATATTATTGCATCTAAGCATGAAAACATCTACATGCATACATACTCATACGAGCATGAAAAAGCACTAAAGAATGTTAAAGAGTAAATAGATAGAAATGTGAATATTAAAGAAGTTCAAATCTGAATTTTTATTTAAAGAAGTGTAAAAAGATAAAAAGAAGAAAAGGTTGTTGAGATGAGGAACTCGTGAGTGACAAGAAGAATTTTCCCCATTTGCACACCGCTTTTAGTGAACGGCCTAAGAATAAGAAAAAATAATTGGTATAGTCCGTAAGAGTGCATGTAGATGAAGGTTGTACCTAAGAAAAAAAAATACAGTCACTGGCCAAGGTTCCAAATCCATGCCTCAACCGAGTCCGATTGGCAAAAGAATAAGAAAAAAAAAGAAAAGAAGAAGAAAGAAAAGAAGAAGAAAAGAAAAAGAAAAGAATAAGAAAGAAAATAAAAGAATGAGAAAAGAAAAGAATAAGAAAGGAAAAAAAAAAAAAAAAAAAAAGAGGAAAGAATAGAAAGAAAGAAAAGAATGAAAGACTAAAAAAGGAAGCAAAGAAAGAAATACAAAGAAAAGAAACAGAAAACAGAATAAGAAAAATAGAAAAGAAAATGCATATTTTATACTTTTGTGCATTGCATTATATATATGCATAATACCATGCCCATTATCTGAGTAGTGAAAAATTAGAATAAAGAAAGAACAGAGAAAGAGCAGAGAGAAAAACAGAGTAAGAGTAGAGAAAGAATAAAGAAGAATGGGGAAGTGTGAAGTAAGGAAAGAAATTCAGAATTTAAGCAACGGAGAGAGAAGGGTAGCATAACGGTTTACTTATTGAGCAATTAGTGCTCACCTCGTTGTTTTCAATGGTTTTGCAGGAAACAAGTGAGATGCGGTCACTTGGAATATTACGCAGCGGAAGGGTTGGGCAAAACTGTCGAGTTACTATTTTGGGACTTTATTATATCATGTAAAGTTTTGTGTATAAAGAAAATTAAATATGGGCCCATAATTTTATACTCGTTTATATGTATATATTCCCTTATATATATTTAGTAAGTTTTACTGTTATTTTACGAGTTTACTAACTAGAAAAAGAGTCATTACACAACTCAAAGTTCCTAAATTTGCCAGAATCCCTAAAATCAACCTTTGTTTCCAACTACAATCGAAGAACACCAGAACGATTGATACAAAGTTTGTCACCCAATTACCTTCATCATGACCATCCACCATCTTCTTTTCGATCTTTTGAGCGATCATCCTTCCAACGGAGAGAGTTTCCACTTAGAAAGATGACAAACGTAGAAATCCAGAAAAAAAAAGGGCCTTTGTTTTAGATGCGACAGTAAGTTCTTCCCTGGATACAAATGTGGTGAAAAATAGTTTCAAATCATCTTAATTGATGAAGAGGAAGACGAACCAGAACCAATTGGTGGTGGAGAAACAGAGGAACCTGAAGGCGAGCAGCAACAAGGTAATGTCGAACTTTCTCTCAGTTCGGTGGTGGGGATCAACGGTCTGAAGACAATAAAGCTTAAAGGGAGAATCAAAGGTAAGGAGTTGATAGTATTGATTGATAGTGGGGCTTCCCAAAATTTCATTAGTTCTAAGGCAGTTAAAAGATTAAGGATACCGATAGTGGGAACTCAATCTTTTGGGGTTAGAGTGGGTGATGATTATAGCGTGAGGTGTGAAGGGAAGTGTAGAGATGTTTGTATGGAGTTACAAGGTGTTACCATCGTTCAAAACTTCTTTCCATTTGACATGAGTATTGTTGATGCTATTTTGGGAATTGCGTGGCTGGAGACTCTAGGTGAGACAGTTACTAACTGGAGAAATCAAACAATGAGGTTTAAATTGGCAGATCAGACAGTTAGTTTGTGTGGGGATCCATCACTTAACAAAATGATGGTATCTCTCAAGGCCATGATTAAGGCATTGCAATGTGAGAGGCAGGGTTGTTTGATAGAGTTTGGACAGATCCAAAAACAATATGATGAAAATGGGGAGGTAGACGATCGACTGCTAGATGTGTTAGAGAAATTTAGTCAAGTTTTTAACCTACTTCCTAGACTACCACCTGCCAGATCGAGAGACCACACCATTCAATTAGTTCCAAGAACTCAACCACCAAACCTTGGACCCTATAGGTACCCTTACTATTAGAAAAATGAGATAAAGTGCATTGTAAAGGAGATGTTGGCCTCTAGGATTATAAAGCCGAGCATAAGTCCATTCTCAAGTCCTGCTTTATTAGTAAAGAAGAAGGATGGGGGGTGGAGATTTAGTGAGGATTATAGGACAGTTACAAGGTGACAGTTCCAGACAAATTTGCAATTCTAGCTATCGACGAGCTATTTGATGAGTTAGAAGGGGCGACGGTGTTCTCCAAGCTTGATTTGAAATCAGGCTATCATCAAATCAAAGTCAAACTAGAGGACACACACAAAACAGCTGTTCAAACCCACAAAGGGCACCATGAATTTCTAGTTATGCCCTTCGGCCTAACCAATGCACCATCAACCTTTCAAGCATTAATGAATGAGGTCTTCAAGCCATATTTGAGGAAGTTTTTGTTAGTTTTTTCGATGACATACTGATTTACAGTAAGAAGATGGGTGAGCATGCAAGACATTTAAGTATTACTTTAAAGACACTGATGGACAATCAATTGGTGGTCAATAGAAAGAAATGCATTCTTGGGTAGCAACGGTTAGAATATTAGGGGCATGTAATCTCAGCAAAAGGAATGGCAGTCGACCCCTCAAAGATAGAGAGCATTACTAAAGGGCTAGAACCGAGAGACATCAGAGCACTTAAAGGGTTTCTTGGATTGACGGGATATTATTGACGATTTGTTCAGGATTATGGTAAGATAGCCCTCCCACTCATTGCCTTATTAAAGAAAGATTCATTTGTGTGGAATACAACAGCTCAATGTGCTTTTGAAGAATTAAAAAGACTCATGACAAGTGTTCCAATCCTCAGAATGCCTAATTTCACAAAGGAATTTATCATAGAGATTGTTGCATCCAAGAATGGTTTAGGGGCTGTATTGATGCAAGAAGGGCAACCTATTGCCTTTCTCAGCAAGGGTTTGTCTCTAAATTCCAAACTTAAATCAGTTTACGAGCGAGAATTAATGGCCATAGTCATGGCAATGCAAAAATGGTGCCATTATCTTTTGGGAAGATGTTTTGTTATCAAGACCAATCAGAGAAGTCTTCACTTCTTAACTGACCAGAAATTGTTGAGTGAAAATTAGCAAAAATGGATTATCAAGTTATTGGGCTAGACTTTATAATTCAGTACAAACCTGGGCTACAGAACACGGCGGCAAATGCTCTTTCTAGAGTGCCAGAAGTTGTAGAAAACCATGCTCTCTCTATGAGCTGTTTCTCGGGTATAACAAATTTAGAAGATGCCATTCATCAGGATCATAAGTTACGCGAGATCATGCAACAACTTTTGGTCAACCCAAATAGCCATCCTCATTTCAAATTAGTGGGACAACATCTATTGTATCATGATAGGTTGGTGGTGCCTAAATCTGGACCTCATATCCAAAAAATATTACATGAGTTCCATTCCTCGCTCATTAGAGGCCATTCGGGTTTCTTTCGGACATATAAACGCATCACGAAAGTAGTGTATTAGGAGGGGATGAAGAAAGATATTAAGGAATTTGTGGAAGCCTGCACTATTTTCAAACATAACAAATATGAAGCCTTGAGTCCAACAGGTTTGCTACAGCCACTGCCTATTCCTAAACAAGTGTGGGAAGATGTCTCAATAGACTTTATTAGGAGGCTTCCAAAGGCTCATGGGGTAGATATCATTCTTGTAGTTGTCGATCGACTTACAAAATATAGTCATTTTCTAACTCTCAAGCATCCTTACATAGCTAAAGGGGTAGTTGATCTGTTTATCAAAGAGATAGTGCGGCTGCATGGGTTTCCTCGCACCATTGTTTCAGATCGTGATGGAGTTTTCATGAGCAAATTTTGAGGAGAATTATTTAAACAGTCAAGAACTCAACTACACATGAGCTCAGCTTACCATCAGCAAACAGACGGTCAAACCAAGGTGGTAAATTGATGTTTGGAGACGTACCTCAAATGCTTTGTCAATAGCCAACCTCAACAGTGGCCGAGATAGGTTTCGTGGGCAGAATTTTGGTTCAACACGACATATAGTAGCTCCACGAGTGTGTGTCCATTTAAAGCTTTATATAGTCACGATCCTCCAACAGTGTTGAGGTATACTGATCACACTTCCTCAATCGATGAAGTCGACCAACAACTCCAGAGTCGCACAATGTAATCGAGGAGTTAAAAGAGAATCTCCTCAAGGCTCAAAACCGAATGAAGACTTATGCTGATAACCGACGACGAGAAGTTACGTTTGAGATAGGGGAATCAATGTATTTGAAGTTGCAGCCTCATAGGTTAAGATCTCTAGCTCGTCAATATAATGAGAAACTTAGTTTGAGGTTTTATGGTCCATTTGTGATCAAGGATAGAATTGGGGCAGTAGCATACAAGCTGGCAATATCTCCCTTAGCTCGTATTCATGACGTTTTCCATGTTTCACAATTTAAGAAGGCAACTTTCCCACTCCTTAATAGCCAACCCCTACCAAAAGCCCTCAATGAAGATTTTATTTTGCAGGTTGAACCAGAAGTTGTATTTAAGAAAAGAAGGCTCTTGAACGGACAATAAGAGGTACTAATTCAATGGAAATGATTAACTCCTCTTGAGAACACTTGGGAGGATTTTGACACAATCAACTCCCAATTTCCTTCCTTCCACCTTGAGGACAAGGTGGTTCTCCTTGGGGAGGGAAATGATGAGCTACCGGGGAGGCTGGCTTACAACAGGAAGGGTAGAGGTGAGAAGTAGAGGAATATTTGTTTATGCGTGAGTGTTAGGAGTAGCTTTTGGGAGGACAGGTGGCTTAATGAGACTGGAAGGGTGAAGAATTCGGTTATGAGAAAAAGGTGTTAGGGAATAAAAGTGAGGGACAAAGGGATTTGGGTGCTATTCAGAAAGAAGGTTAAGGTTTTGAAGGAGAGGTGACTGGCCCTCGAAGTTCAATTTTTATCTTTGTTTTTGCTGTACTTAGAATTGTTCCATTTTGTTGTTAGGTTGCTGGGTAGATGATAGAACATGACTCTCTGAATGTAATGTTCTGTTCTTAATATCAATATAGTCTATTTCTTTTTCATTCCTGTTCTTGCTGATTGTTTTAACTGGTATTGGATAGAGTATGTGTGTTGCTTGGTGGTTTAACAGGCCAGTGTTCTATCACGTACAAAACTAAAACGAGTCAAAACCTCAAAATACTTCAAAATTTGAAGTCAAAAAAAGATTTTCTCCAAGTAAACAAATATTCTTACGAATCTGGGCACCACCCATTTGATCTAGCTGCTAGATTGCAAGGTTTATCACACAAACTATTTGCCTTGACGTTTTCTTCTGCAAATTTCGAGATGGAGTTGATATACATTGATTAATATACTGGATTAAAAGAATAAATGTACCTTGTGATTCAAGTATAGTCTCATCTAACTTGTTGCTTTGGGACTTCAAAAGCTTTATGCGGTCCTCATGCAGCTTGATTTTCGCGCCTAGCGTTTGTAGATCATCTTGAAGTCTCTACAAAGATTAGGATAGAGCAAAGCATATGTCATTTGATCATTCTGTTTCAAAGTTGGACATACTATTAAGAAAACATATACAACATAAAATTAGAACATACTAAAATATAATGCATCTAGCCATATCCTTAGTCAAAAGTATAAAACAAAATATGCTTTAATAAAATTTTAAACTATTTCCAAGATATTTTTTATCCAAACGACCTGAGAATGGTAAAAGATAGCTTTTGCTTGTGGATTTCCTCCATTTTGCATTCCAACTATAGAAATTTCCTTTTGATCCACTTGCACTGATGCTGATGAATCTTGAATAGACAAAGCATTTGTTTGAATTGACAACTGCAAAGGAGAGGGACAATCATGGCTTTGCAAACATCAATTTACAACAAAAACATTACATATGGAAATTACTGGTACATGCACAGGATTTGAGTTTCTTCTAGACTCTGCCGCATATTTTCCATCCAAAACAAAGCAACAAGAAGGAAACCAGAAAACAGGAAAATATAACAGGCTAGGTAGTTCCTGTTTTATTACATTTCAACATTAGTTTGCAATAATGCATGAATCATTCAAAGATGCACTAGTCTAAAACACACAGCCCCAAAGATGCNGGAAAAAAAAAATCCAACCCTAGTATTTAATTAATCAACTTCTCCTTCACAATCACAATAAAACCAATGTTTTTCCTTTTCTTATATAGAAAGAGAGAGCAATCCTAAAACTAAACAAAATCTATTCTCCTACTTAAACATGGAAAAGGAATACTAATCTTTAAATGAAACTATTTTCTCTCTTATTTTAACTCAAAGAGATATCATTCCTAAAATAACAATTATCTTAAAACAAATCTTCTAAAAAAAGGAAATTAACCAAAACTGTATTATCACATCATTATCACCGAATTATCGCCAAAGCAATGACCTTCTTCGAGATCTTCTTTGCGATCGCCGTAGCAAACATTTCCATTGTCGCGGCCAACTTTTGTCGCAGCATCAAACTTTTTCTTTTGCCGCGACATTCCACATTCTGGACTAAGTTTCATTCTCTTATCTCAACTTCTTCACTGTATACCTTTTCTTCTACAACAACATCTTCATCAACTATAAAAAAGTATTCACATTCCAACAGGAACAAGTATATTATGTTATTATATAGCATATTAACATGTATATATTTATAGAAAAGTCATGCATAGAGGTGGTATTAAATGATTGGGAGGAGGGCTTCTGAAAGGAATAATATATTCTACGTGTTATGTTTGAGATCTTAATCCATATATTAATTGATTAGTGTCAAAGGATGAAATAAGAAGATAAAAAATATGATAATAATTGATTAGTTTTACTCTTTGAAAAGAATAATTCTTCTCTCAAGTACTTGAAGCAAATATGTAATAATAAACAAGTAATTGCAGTATTTTTTTTTTTTTTTTTTTTTTTGAAATTAAAATTCCTTCAAAGCAACATATACAAAATTCTCAGCCACCAGTATGAGCAGAATTCAGTAAGGACACAAATTATTTTTCTAACCTGAGCTGCTAGGGTTGTTCCATCCTTGAAACCAGCTTTCCCAGTCCCTGCTAGGGTACTGACCCTTTTACTAGCTGGATCCAGCTTCTTGATCTGAAATTTCACCCAAAAAGAGATGAAAATCAAGAAGTTAGCTTTGATAATTCACATTCATTTTATCAGTTATGTGATCAACTCTCAACAGGAGCCCCCAAGTAATGCATCATGAGCATTCATGAAGCTTTAAATTTATCATCACAACATTCAATAAATGTTGGCAGGCTACAGTGATTTAAATATCTTTTATATCTTCATCTATTAGCTAATTACCTTGTGGTTGGAGCTATCTGCAATATAAATTTGACCATCCTTCGCACAAATGACAGCTAGTGGATGTTGAAGAAGGACTTCGGATCATGTTCCATCATGGTCTGCAAACTGTAAATCATACATTGTAAGAGTATTAGAAGAAAAAGACAAAATGACATAAACTAAATATGAACTGTAAGTCTTCTCCAATTTTTGTAAAAAAGGTTATTAGAGACCAAAATATTTTTCCAAGATGAAACAGGCTTCTTAATTTTTATTAATGATGAAGAAGACAAGTTCAGACAATTATACGTCCTTTGCTTTTGCACTGTTTTACAGCAGCATTTCATTAGCAAATCATTAATTGCCGCAACAATTAATTAGGAAAATGACATTTGAAATTATTTAGCTTACATACCTGATTAATCAGTACAAGGGCTCCTGGAAATCCTATTCCTGAATTTGGTTTTGCATACTGCAACCATTGAACGAAATCAGAGGTGAGTAAAGGGTAACCATCTTTTCATTGCAATATGTGGTTTAATAGTTGGTTAATGACCTTCTCCAGATATATCTCAAAGAACCTCTTTTTGGCTGCCTCAGGATCAAATCCCTTCACTCCTTTAACAGAAGCTACATCCCCTCAGAAGTTTGCCTCGCCTATTACGTTGTCATAGGACATGTAAATATTAAAAGCTAAAATTACAAATCAAAACTCCAATTTAATACAATAATAGAATGATCCATAACAGTCAAACATAAATTAGTTCTCTTTATATTTGAAAATTGTATCTTTGAAAGTAATATCAATTCCACATCACCTTTGATTCCTCATTCAATTATAACAAGTTATCTACCTCCTTTTGCTTCATAAACAGAAAAACCATGCTTATAGTAATGTAGGATTAAACACAGGCCATTACAATTCTTCAATTGCTCATCAATATCATAGCCATGCAATTGAAGTTAACAATTAATAATCAATTTAGCCAAAATCAAATTGATCATCATTCAATAAAATACGACAAAATGATTACACATTGAATCGCTTTATCAAATAAATTGCTAAAATGCAAAAGTAATTAGTGACTAAGCTCTTACCAGTTCCCATGAAAGGGACAAAGTCCTCCATTGTAACTTCAACTCCCATTTCAGCAAAAACATCCACACCAGCCCTTCTTGAAGGCTCCTCAGCAATTGATATATGCAATTTAACACCAATAAAGTATGCTTAAAATTGTTTCTACTACGGAGAGCAATAGGGCTTTAAGCAAATTTTTTAGATATGAGATCATTTGCTAATACTTTTGAAAAAACAGGTTTCATATAAACTATAAATGGAAAAAGTTTAGAAAAAAACATAATGTAAACACAATAAGAGGAGAGAATACTACAGCATGATAAAATTGTCTGACAATATCAACTTTGTCCAATTAGTTGAAAACTGAGGACATCACTTAGACTAAAACAATAGGATATCAAGTTCCGTCCTTTCTTGGTGGAATAAGTGGAAAGCACATTTAATCTAGGGAAAGGTATAGGGAACTGATAGAATTAATATCATGATGAGAATGATATCACAACTGATCAAAGTTATTTTGTAAATAAAAGTAATGAAAACCAAACAATGGAAAAAAAAAAAAAAAAAAAAGGTTACTTTGCTTTGGTTAGTAAAAGTAGTAGAGAAGTTAAAAAATAGAATGATGATTTTTTTTCTTGCTCTCATTTGTATTATTCTTTTCATAAAAAGTTTTATGTTATGATACGTGATAATTTTTTTTCTAAAGAAAGCTAGTTTATATATATTTATCTATTTCGAAGTCAAACCTTACTATCTCTGTTTACAATGAAGTGAACAATAAACAAAAGAATTCTGAAAAATAATGGAGTTCATCAATTCACATATGAACTAATTAATTTGCACGTCCATTGAGCCAGTTTGATGATAATAGATTTGAAGTTCAACGTTGTAAAGAATTGGAAAAATAGAAATATGAAGTAAATAGCATGAAAATCAAGCATCTACAAAACAAACACATAAAAGTAAATGTAATAGGCAGCAAAGCAAAAATATGGTCATCATACAAATGTCATACCTAATAATCTCCTATCATTTTCACGATTGGTCCATATGGCTTGCAAGGAATTATCCTGTACATAAGCAGCAGAGAATAAGTGACTACATAAACCGAAAAGATAAGCCAAAAAGCCAAAACTTCTTCAATTCCTTTAATTATCTAACAACATACAATCAAATCTGCAAGAGCAATTTCAAAAGTGTATTCTTCTGGCAGCTCCATTAATAGATCAGTATCGGTGTCAAATCCCACATGCCCTGTAAACAAACCAGTCCATCATAAAACTGAATACAATTTCTTCATTAAGCGTATAAAAGATGAACAAAGAACCACAATGAATGTTCAAAATCAAAATTAAAGCAAAAATATGCAGAAAGTCAGAAATATTAAAAACTACTAACCTCAAAAGTATTGGAAATCTCACTGGATCCATCCTAATAATGAAACAAACAAATTAAAGCATCACTGAATCCTGGCATGAAACTCTTATAATCAAACAGCGTAAACACTTAGACTACGAATACTCACATCTAGCTATAAAATATGGTACCTATGTGGCTTGAACTTCCCAAAGTCCATTATATTTCTTATCTTATTCTCGTAGGGGTACAGCCCTTCATTTTTCCAATTTATTGTTCTTTTCTGACTCATTGTTTTGCATTCTTGCCAAGCTCCAAAATATTCACCTTTCACCAACTTAATGAAGTCTTGTAAGGGCATTTGGAGGACGGGGTCCTATAGAGTTAATTCTACACTAGCCCCATTTGGTAGTAGAATTTTAAATTTATATTTCCTCCCTACAATACCATTATCTTCCTCCAATGCTCTTTTTTTCACCCTCTAGGATGCACTTGGTCGTTCCATAGTTAAAAAAAAAAATTGCACTCTCTGAAAAAAAAAAATAAACTCTTTCACAGCTCTATCTCTATGTTTGTTCAATACACAGAACAAACCCTAAAGCACAAAGACCCACAGGCATACACAAATACATATAAGCCTTCCAGAAAGGAAGAGGCTATTTGTGACCAAAAATTTATCTCAACACCCATCGTTTAAGACATCCAATCTATACAAAGACTATCCAAAATCGACCAACACAAAAGACATCCAATCTATTGAAAAAAGAAAAAACAATTTCTTCATTATTACAATCAAGCAATTTCTTCATCTTTTATCATCATTTCTAAAGACTGAAATTCTAGAGAAGATCAGAACAATATTATTACTATTAACTTCCTTGTGGCTATAGAATGTTTAACAACCTAAAAAAAAAAATTCCAAATCCTACTAATTTGACAATGAAACTCTAACTTTCATTCTTTCGGTATTAAAATATCAAAATCACTAATAGTCCATTTTGCAACTTGATCTTGACTACTAACATAAATTTCAGTCCCCAAGTCTATTGATGGCCAGTGCCTCTTTACAGGTTCTGTACCAGGATCCTGACAGAAGTAAAGTGATTGAGATAATCTTCCAACATCAAGCTCGCAGGTCCTGGGATCACCGATCCAACCCTCACCTCTCTTCGTTGGGTATCCGTAGTCGCCCCAAACTGGGTGTGGCAGAATCTGCAGGCTTTCCTGAGGTTGAGGATTGCTAAATGCATCACAGAGATTGAATGGCTCCTCAGGATACTCAGCATTTCCTGGAGAACAGTAAACATAATAACATATTTCAAATTTGAGAAATACGTTAGGGTTAAGAGAGAGAGAGAGAGGAATTTGAGAGATTTGAAGAATTATAAAGTTGGGGAAGATCAAATAAGATAATTTTGCCGTTGAAATGTTTTTTGAAATTTGAAAATATTCAAATAAATCTCCTTTTTCTATTTATCTCCAAAAAAGAAAAACGTATTTTATTAAAAGAGTTTAATCTCGTTCAGCTATTTATGTATGTTTCATTGAAAGCATTCAAGATCAAGAATCCTTTCTTCTGTTAGTAAATTCTTATTTTATAATTTTATTTTTTATATTTTCATCAAGAAATAAATTAGTTTCAGCCTTATCTCTCATCCTATAATTAAAGAAACTTTAATCCAAGAATTATTATTTATTTTATTTTATTTTGGCATTCATCCTTAGATAAATAATGATTTTATGCCTTTATCTAATTATTTATTAATTTCAAAATCATTTTTCAAGGATATTTCTCAACTAAAACGTTTTGATATAAATCTTTTATTTATTTATTTATCTTTATCCAATATGCAAGGCAGTCCTCTAGCCCCCTATTCCACCATCTCCTCCCATTCCCAGCCCTCCAACCTCCCACAAACAACTTCTCTTGCCTTCCCCCATCTTCGGGAACCCAAACAAAGCCACTCTCCCTATGCCCGCTAACTGCTCGACAAAACGCCACAACCATCATAACAATAAAACCACCTACATATTCCCCAAATTCGCACAAATCAATCAAATTTCTCATCGAATTCAAAACAAAAAGTAAAAAACGTACCCTTTCTTCACCGCCGTCCTCCTCCTCGCTTGAATTCTCGCTGGCGTCCTCCTTTTCAGAACCATTTCCCGATTCTTCTCTCTTTTCTTATGTCGTCGTTGTCTCCTCTGCCTTTGGATGACCTTGACTCATCGGATGATCCACCGAAGCGTCTTCTTCGATAGACTTTGAACTGTTGGCACCGTCGGAGTCTAGGATTCGGAATGAAGTTGGGTTTTCCTCCTTTTTATGAATGTCAGCCATGGTTTTGTGTAAGAAAGTTTTATGATCGAATTTTTGTCGGAATTAAGGCATTGTCATCACCAGAAATCACAGAGAAACGAAATGTGTTCGTCGGTCGTTTTTTTGGTATATGGCTCGATTAAGCGATTTTGAAGGGTGGGGGCTGGTTTTCAAATTTCAAAATTTAAACAAACTTCTGTTAATTATGATTCTACCCATATATGTTTAAATGATTTCAGTTTAACCCGTTTTACATGTTTAATGAATCCTAAGTGTGCCACGTTAGCTTTTCTGAATTAAAAAAAAATTCAAAAATACCATTTCTTTAAATGTAAACTTGGGAGGTCTGCCAGTTAAATTTTCTCCTCTCTCCTCTCTACCAATAACTATCCAGTTTCTCCTTTTCTCAACATGGTTTATTCGGTTAGTTGATTATCTAGTTTTGACAAGCCAATCCAAAAGGAAACCTTAAGTGAGAAATCAAAACATATCCATTCATAGATTACCTTTTACTCTTTCTGTGATTGTGTTGGAGCTATGTCCAGGTTCCCAAACCTAAATTACTGCATAAACCATGTGATAAACCCGAAATTGTGTCCGAGTTCAATGGGGTAACTATGAAAAAAAGTAAAGAAAAAGAAAAAAGAGATATAATTAAAGAAGAAGAAAGAGCTTAAAAATGGGCGAACGACTTAAACATACTCAAGGTTTTCCGTAATGACAAGTTGGTACCCAAAAGGTTTGAGAAAGACAAATAGATACTTTCCATCCTGTAATGTTATAGATTTCCGTTTTATAATAGTGAAAAGACTAAAATGCCCTTTGAAGTTTGACATCTTAGTTTTTTATTAATTTATCACTAGTCAACTTATTCAATTACATAAATACCCACATCATTATGGTGAATTACATTATGCCCTCATGTTACAAGTGACCAATTTATCCCTGTTTTGGCAGAAGTAGTATCAATATACTCAGTTGTGGTTGAAAAGTGAAAATTTTCATAATTTAAAAGAAATTATTCATAATTAACATCAATTCAGTACATGATATTCAATATCAATTAAGTTTTCATGGTTTAAACATAAACCATGAATTCAATACATGAAAATGTGATATACAATTGAAACTTCAAATCAGGTTTGAAAAACCGAGCAGTTTCCAGATGCACACCCATGGCTGCAAAAATAGGCACAAAATTGCCTTCTTCTCCATCCTGCAAATCCACAAATGCACACCCATAGCTGCAAAAACAGGCATAATTGCAATGTAATAAACTGCAGATACATACTCTTGTCTAGTACAAACATCATCATTGCAAATCCACTACAATGGGAATGGATCGTGCAATCCTTGTCAATTTGACCATTATTTTTCTTTTGTAATTTATTAAAGGCCAACACAAAGGAATACACACACACACACACACATATATATATATATAACAATTCAATCTTGTTAATTTAGCTCTCATTCTTTGCCTTAATTCTCTTATGTTTAAATAAACAAAAAGAGCAGAGCAATCAGCCAAGAACCCAAACAATTTCCAACAATTTATGTTTTTTTGAAAGAAACAAAAAAAAAAAAAAAAAAATTCAGACGTGATACCCTTCTAATACTCAACCCCAAACAATGAAATTGCAGTAACCCTTTTAGACAAGAACCCATACAATAATAGCAATTAGCAACCAATAAACTAGAGCAATCAGCCAAGAAACCCAGAAAAGTATAGCAACCAACAACCAATAAATCACCCAACCAGCAAGCCAATACAAGGATAAGAAACAACAAAATGCAACCCAACAACACATATAAAGAGCAGCAAAGCAAAACTAAGACAAAAAGAGATAAAAACAATGCAAGGCTTTGAATATCCTCCCCTATTTTCCACTCTTAACTTTTCTGAATATCCTCCCCAATTCTCCTTGACTCCATTTTATCCCATTTAGAATCTCTCCATGAAAGAATTCCCACCTATCCCACATAATTCTTCCTCAACATTCACACGCCTAGGAACACTTTTGCCCAACTGCAAATAATCCTCTACTACCCATTCCAACACATAAGGTGTTTCATCAGATTCCCATAATTCAACTGCTAATAATCTTCCACATGAACATATCACATTACAGCTAAGTAATAATACACACCTATTCTTCTGAGTTGTTGTGGTAGAGGTCCAGGTGGCAAAAAAAGGATTTAGTTGACTAAGCAACATGTTCGAAACACTAAACAAAGTATAGAAATAGTGGGTTAGAATAGGATAATCAAAGTAGAAAAAAAAAAAAAAAAAGTGATAGAAACAAAAATAACCTACTGCTACAGCAAACAAAATAATTTCCCCATTGCATTATTGACTTGGTTGACCTATTAAGAAAAGTAAGAATAATGTTAGCAAAGGTAAAAAGTAATAGACATAAATATTATACGGTTTAAAATAGTTGTAATTACCCCTTGAACTTGAAGCTTGGGACAAGTTTGTTGCAAATTGAGCTCCTGAGCATTGCGGACACAAAGGTTCGCTACAAATGAAAAAATAGAAATCAGTATTATAAGATAAAATATAATGAAATTGACATTTTTTTCTATTACCTTCTACTTCTTCATTTATCTGCATTTGCTGGATTTTTTTTTGCAGGACCTTTTGTTATGCCCCAAGACACTGCAGACCCCACACCTAAGTGTAGAGACCCTTTTAGATTTTGGCTCTTCATTTGGATCTCTCCTTCTTGATTTCAAAGGTTTGCCAACCTTGG